GCACTTAACTGAAACAACATGTAGTTGGAACATAGAAGATATACTTGGGACACACACAAAAAAACAAAAGATTTTGCAAAGGTGATAGGGTGTTTCTGGACCTTTTAAAGTAAAGCCCTAGAACAAGTGGAGTTAACCAGATGGAGAAGCTGTAAAGGTTACATTTCTTTTCAGGGACTCAGAAGTGTGAGCGAACCTGAAACTCTGCAGCTGCAGCTTCCAAGATGGTAGTCACTACTGTCTGTGGTCATTAAACTTTAATCATCTGAAATGAAATTCAGTTCTTCAGCTATAGCAGTCACATCTGAAGTGCTCAGTAGCCACATGTGATGAGTTGCTGCCATATTGGATAGCACCGATATAGACTCTTGTCATTGTACTGGGCAGCAGGGCTGTGCAGAGTCTGCAGGTACAGAGAACTGACAGCTGTAACCATGAGGAGGACAGCACAGGACAAGTCGTTAACATGGCAGCTCGGCTAAATGGTCAGGCATGGGAGTTTATATTACATCCTCCCAAATATTGTCTGCCGACTTTTAATCCTGGAATAAAGATCCGTGTTTTTATAGGCACATATGCTTGGTGCGACTTCTGCACACAGTACTTTTCTGAATTAGTAAAACGACTGCTTAAAATATTCATTTTACAAAATGGTTACCCTGCTGATATTGATCATTGTCACACAAGTTGCTATAGCACAGCCTCCCAATCTGAAATTCCGAAACCTTGCTGACTTGCAGCAGAAATGTGTTGTGTGAAAATGTAAATAATAATAATTTAGTAGAATTCCAAAGAGAATTTTATGCTGAACATTAATAGGAACTTCTCATGTAATCTTTACTTTACCTGATCGTTATTATATTGTAAAGAAGTTATGAAGATACCATAGATGGGCATGTTTCTTCTCTATTATACTGTTGTTGAATACCACAAGAAAAATCACAGACCCATGAAGAGCAGTGATTCTCATTTCTGTTTTTTTTAAAGAACACTTGCTTTAGTTTAATGAGTTTATTATAAACAGGTTTTTAAAAATATTTAATATATTGATTTTTTACGGTGGATGTTAACTGAATATTGTTAATAATATTAACAATTAACAAAAGCTTTTTACTATTGATTAAACATCTCCTATACACTGGAGTCCTGATATGACGCTGTAGGACAAGCACTGAACTTCAAGGTCAGTTTGAACTGCAAGGTTGGCAGTTCAGGCTTACCAGCTGCTCCTTGGAAAACCTATACAGGGTTACTGTGGATTGGAACTGACATTTGACAATGCTTGACAACTACATACTAGTGTGTCAATGAATATAATGAACAATGAGTATTGTTCATTATATTTGACACTAATTCTCACAAACTGCAATGTAGATACAATTACCTCCATTTTTATAGTCATTGTTGTGTACTGTTAAATAGGCTCTGACTCATAGCGACCCTTTTATACGGTTTCCTAGAGCAGCTGGTGGGTTTGAACAGCTGACCTTGAGGTTACCTATCCAGTGCTTATCGTACACTGGCACACCAGGGCTCTTTGGCAAGTTTAGGAAAAACAGATTAAAATACTATGCCCATACAATGAGATAATGCAGCCTTTAGAGACAGTTTTGCAATGTCTAATGTCTTAGAAAGATGCTTGTAATTTGCTCTGAAGTGATTGAAGCAGATATCTCACACAAACACTATATTCACTGTGATCCTATGTGTACTTTATACACACTCACAGAAGAATTTATGAAAAGATACTGTCAGAACAGCACCGGTGACTAGACGCGTTTCTTCATGTTCTCACTGACATTCTTTTTTT